CCCCCCAGGTGCCCGCAGCTCCAGCTTCTCCTGGGCGCAGCCGTGACCCGGCGGCTCTGCCCGGCGCCGCTGGTTGTCCCCGTCCCTGGGTGAGCTGCAAGAGGCAGCACAGGTGGCAGAGCGGGGCCTCAGCCCTCTTGGCTCGTTTCTCTACAGGTTTTTAACAGTTATTTCCGTGTTGCCGCAGTCGCAGCCCTGCCCTGCCCGTCGCGGGGCGCTGGGGGAGGCGTGTGGCTCCCTCGGGGCTGGTGTGGTTTGGAGAAGGCGAGCGGCGCCCAGCCTGGGCCCGAAACCCTGCGGAGCACACAGCCCTCGCTCTGCTGCTGGCACCTCGCAACAGAAGCCCCTTTACTGTCACCCAGGCTTAGGAGGGCCAGGTGGGGATTTACCGCTCACAAGGGCTCCCCCAGGCACTCTGCCCTTCCCTGCCCAGCCCTGCAGCCCCAGCAAGTCCTGCCAGTTCCCAGGGCCACAAGGGGTAATGTCACAGTGTCACCGGGAGCAGGGAAACTGCCCAGGTGAGCATCGCCCCTGCGGTGTGCTGCTGGCCCTCCGCACCCGCAGCCAGGGCTTTCTGCCCCGCAGCAGAGCGGTGCTGGCGCTGCTCTGGGTTGTGACCTGCGGCATCAACGCGTCTGCTGTCGCCATTCGGCCTGGCGGGCCCTGGTGCTCGAGCCCAGCAAGCCCAGGGCCCTGCAGTCCAGGTAACTGCTCCTCCTCCTTGCTCGGTTCTCCCTTCGGGTGCCTCTTGGGCTTTGCCCGGTGTCCCCCAGACGGTGCCATTTCCTACCTCCTGTCCCTCTGTCCCTCCCCAGAGGTGGCTGCTGCAGCCAGGACCACTCCGCAGCCCACGGGCACCTGCAGTGGGTGGGGAGGGCTCTGTCCCAGTGCCCCCGTGAGCCACAGGGGTGGGAGCGGGGCAGCAGCACAGGGGGTGACCTCAGCTTGGCTCTGGTATAGAGTGCTGGCAGCTGCCTTCAATCGAGAGACTTCAGTCCCCCAAACTTCATCTTTTCCCTGGTCTCTGGCTCAGCATCAGTCCAGAAAATCCCTGAAGAGGTTTGATCCTCTTCCTCCTGGCCTCAGGATGCAGGAGGCTGGTGCGTCCTCCAGCCTGGTCGAGCGTCTCCTCCGCATTGCCGTTGGTTGGTCCTTTTCGGGGTGGTGACGCCCAGGCTCAAGTTTGAGAAGGGAACAATCTGTTTCCCCCCCCTTCCCCACTGCTGCCTGGCATCTCACCCGCACCCTGGCCCCGGCAGCCCTGTGGGGACAAAGGGACCTGCAGGAATGGGGTGTGAGGGTCGCTGTCCCCCCGCTGTCCTCCTGCCTGGTACCCCCCAGCCTGCCTGCCCTGCCTGCCCCTTTGCTCCAGCCCGTCCCTCCTGGTGTTTTCCCCAGCCAACGGCACAGCCTGCTCTTGCCTCTCCCGAGCCGCCCCTGCCAAGCCAGGCAGAGGGGGCGTTTTCAGTGCCTTTGCCTCATTTCAGAGCAACTTCCAGGTTATCCTTCCTCTGCGCAGGTTTCCAGGCAGGGCCTGTGTGTGCTCTCAGCAGTGCCAACGCTCCTGGGGAGCCAGGGCTGGTAGCGTGGCCCTGACGCTGCTCAGCATCGCCCCGCGCCGAGGGCTGAGGCTTTGCCTGCTCGACTGCCTTGGAGACAGAGCAGTGAACTTACACCGAACCTTGGAAATGGTTTGGGCAGGAACAGGGCTCCCGTGCAGGGGGGCTGCCCTTGGGCCGGAGCCCTGCTGGGTACTTCTGCCTTGGAGAGGCAGGAGGGGAGAGCGGGTGCAGGAGAAACATCTGTGCTGGGGGCTGGAGCACTCCCCTCACCCACAAGCTGTGTGCCCTGTGCCAGGGTCCTGGGCGCAAGGCTGCCAGCAGAGGAGGCCTCTGGGACTGCTCCGTGCTCAGCCTCCCACCCGGGGGGGCACGGGAGGGCCGCGGGGTGTCCCTGCTGAGAGATGGGCCCAGGCCCCGTGGCCGTGCCTCCTCCCCATTCTTCTTGAGTGACCCAAGAAAGGTAACAACCCACCTTGTCCTTGTTTTTTTCTCCAAATCGGGTCTAAATGCTGTTGGAGCAGAAATGCCTGTCCCTGCTCTCCAGCCCCGTGCCCTCCCAAGGCCCCAGGACTGTATCACTAAGCCTCTTCTCGTGCTCTGTTTCAGTCCTTGTTGACGTGGAAAGCTCAAAAGGGAGCGATTTATTGTAAGATGCAATCCGATCCTCTGTAAACCTTCGCTTGCTTGTCCCTGGTGATCTCTCCGAGCTGGCCTCAGCTCCTGCCAAGGGCTTTCTGGAAGCAGCCTGAGCCGGGCGTTTGCCCGCCCCGGCTCTGGAGTTTTGCCTGTTCCACGTGATGGGCACCGTTAGCAGCACGTGGAGCTGTGGGCAGAGGCACGGCGTGAGGTAGCCAAGGTGACCTGCGGCCGGTTCCTTTCATCCCCAGGCACCTCTGTGATTATAATGCAGAGTTTATTTATTGATGCAGTCTTGGGGCTCGGCACGCGACGCAGCTGTTCAGTCTCAGTTTTACTGTCATTCAGCCCAAGCCTGAGCACGTCCGCATCTGCACGGGACAGGGGACGTTTCCCTGATGCTCCTCACCACGTCCCAGCGCCTCCCAGATCCCAACAGATCCACCACCGGAGCCTTCAGCACCGGGAGGCCCCGTCGGGCTGGGGGAGCCGGGAGACCGTGGCAGAGGGACAACCCTGGGCGCCGCTGCGGGTCGCTCTGCGCGGCTGTTCCTGCCTCAGGTCCCGGCAGGCGGGAGGCGGCTTCTCCAGCCGGGGCCGCGGTGCGGCCGGGCGAGGGGA